GAAACTTTAAAAAGTATATTTCCATTTTCTATTGACTTTATATTACTTCTTCCCTGTCTTTTATACACACATACACACATATAAATGAAAAAAAATACGTATATAACCCAACATAAGATTGATACTGTTTCAAAGAAATCTTCAATGACCTTTAAATAAGAGTTCATCTAATATATCTTTTATATAGTCCTGCATAACTATCATATTGAGAGCTCTCTATTGTTCATCCAGGAGCATAATGGAACCTCTCTTGCCTTTTGAATTATGCTCTTTGTTATTTCCTATATGCTACTTCTGGAAGTATTAAAATATTTCAAGTTTGTATAACTAGAAAATCTTACTTTTAGTTTTCAAAGGTATGTTTGCTAAGTATAAAATTCAAAGAGGACAGATCTTTACTTTCAGTCCTCTAATTAATCTAGTTTCTTACACCCTTGGTTCTTTTTTTTTTCTAATGTGGAATAAGATGCTATTTAATTTTGTTCTTCCATAGCTAATATTTTTATGTATATACTTTAATGATTTTTTCTTTACAAGAAGTTTTGGACAATTTCATTTTTGTGTATCTTGGTATGATTTTATTTAAATGTCTTTGCAAAAGGTTCATTTTTCTTGGAAATGTGGTATTATAAGTTGAACTAAATTCAGAAATTTTAAATCTTTAAAAAAAATGCTTAAAACTACTGTTTGAAGCAAGGTACAATTCCCCTATGATGAATGCTATCACTATGTATATATAAAATGTACCAACAAAAAAATTCAAGGAAAAAAAAAATCATTTGCAGAAAACGGTAGAAACCAGAGTTGACAAACGCTCTTCTTTTCTCACTTACCTTGCATTTCTTACTTATGAAGAGAACCACAGAAAATGCTTAGCCACATTTTTAAAGGTTCAGCTTTTCCACCAGATTAAGACTACTACTGAACATATTTTCAGTATACTGTATTTCTAACTCTAAACCCAAATATCTCACCTGGTTTAATTTTTCAGTGTGATTCAGCCTTGAAGTCTTCCCTGAACTGTACGTGGAAGTCTTCTCCATGTTCCCTAATTGCTTCGGCAGTTCCATATTTGAAGTGGGTTGTGAAAAACACGGCTTTGTAACTGGGCAGCCTGTAGAATATGACCCTTGTTGTTTCATTCTAAATGGTTGGGCAAAAATCTTACCTTTTGTGAAAAACAAAAGAAGAAAAATTGTCACTATCAATTTCTAGCTTATTTTGTGGTAGTTACACTCTGAGAATTGCCCTTAACTCAGAAGTAAAAATTAAAGGAAGCTTATATTTTTAGTCAATAGAGAATAGACACAGCATTTTTACCCAGAAGGTGGGGTTAAAGTTCCACTTAAGGTCACTTGAATATAATTACAGAAAGGCAGGATTTCATAGGTAAAAATCTAAAAAGCTGTATCTCATTTGGAATACCAAAAAATCTCCAGCTGAGGAATGTGATTAGGGCTATGTTTATCAAGAGACAGGCAAACCACATAATAAATGATATTACCCTACCTAGAATTAAGTTACTTATAGATCTGTGGGAGGGAGAAATATCATGGGGTAAGTGTACTGTTTACAATAAAAGATGTTAACACTTGTAATCGCTATGGCCTAGCTCTTTAAGATTAAGCACCAAATAAACCAATTAATTCCAAGAGATCTTGGAAAAGATGGGGGGGCATGGATGAAGAATATATAAGCAAGCCAATCACTAGGAAGAATATCTACCTCCAATATTCCAGTTAGCAAACATCTTCACACAACTCCACCTCTTAGAAGTTGAATAGCATGATTTAGTTTCCCTAAGTCTGAGTACGCCAAAAACACTGATAAGGTTGAAGGCTATATCTGAAACACTCAGTAGCCTCCACAGCTTTCTTTGATACATTTGGTCTTTACTGTTCTTTTCAAACTACACTACCTACTAGTTTGAACACTGCTTTGTAAATTTGCGACACATTCTTATAATTTATGGACTTTGAAGAAAAAAAAAATCACAGAAATAGGGATAAAATGCTCCAAAACATATTGCCCTTCTGCTCAGTGTATAAAGTCTACATTGTTAAGGGATAAAGACAATTACACCAGTCCTGGGCCTTTAGCTATTACTTCTTAGGAGGTTACTTGATGCCAGGCTCTTTGTGGGCTTCTTACATCTCATGTAAGATCCTCAGCACAACTCCAGCACATCTCTATTTTACAGATGAGGAAACTCAGACTTGGCACAAGTAATTTAACTAGTATCACTCAACTTGCATGTAGTAGAGTCAACTATAACAAACCCATGGAGCTCAGTCCTTTCTTGCCTCTCTATGTAATGACTTCTCCAATACTTGCTCACCCACAGAACAACATGCTTACCTGCTGGCCATCTTCTATGCCTTTCCTCTGAGACACTCTTCTTTAGCATCAATAAAGAACCTGCTCTGGTCTGTTCTACAGAAATAATATCTGAAGCTGCATTCAGCACTTCAAACATAGAGAAGAATCCATATTGCATATATTGAAATGATCGTCCAAATCGGTGGACAAACGCCTTCTCAAAATCAGAAAGAAGAACAGGAGACAATGCCAAGAGGTCTTTCAACTCACTCTTCACAACAGCAGGAAGAATAGGAGGCACCCTTCCTCGGTAAGGCACTCGATGAGAACTTGTCCCAGGGCAAATACTGGCCCTTCCCTTCTGCACGGAGTTTTGAACCTTATGGCTACTCCTCTGTTTTGCAACTAAACTTGCTATTCCTTTGGTGGATTCGTCTGGAATGGCTAAGAGATGTGGAGGGGTAAAAAAAAATCACATTTAGATGAAAAACTTACTCTTTATCCTTTGTACCTATGCTATGTAGACAATTCATAATTCTTGAAAGAGCTGTTCATCTAGGTTGGATGATAAATATAATGCCTTTGGTTCCTTCATTTTTTTTCATTTTGGGCAACAACCAGCTAGCTCCTCTACCAGAAAATGGAAGAACTCAATGGCTGACATCATTGATAATTCCTATAGGTCCTGAAAGATTTAAAATTCTTGGGATGAATAACAAACTTCCTTACAATGATTTGTGTGTGTCAGAGAGAGAGAGAGAGAATGTGTGTGTGTGTGTATATATATATAGACAGCTTGCATGCATTTACATTTCATGGAACTTGAAACAAATTTTTGTAGTTTAAAATTCCTATTTTTATGAGTCTCTGAACTTAAGATGCAATAATCTGAAAATTCAGTCATGAACATAGCTTACTTTTGCTGTGGCGCTAACAGCCTACATCATCAAAGACCTTATGATACCACCACCCTTCAAAGTAAAATTCACTGCCTGGGATGCAGAATAACTTCAGAGCTAAAAAGAATGCTTTACTAGGTGATAATCTTTAATTATAAAGTTTAAAGGCCCTCAAAAATCTTAAACCTACCTTTCAGTATTACGGTACCATCCCCACTGGGGCAGACACTAACCACATCAGGCATGTCCAACACCAGCTCCATAGTGGACCGGTAGCCAAGGATTCGGAGTGGTAGACGGTTGCCAACCATCAAAAGATACTCCTTTTCCAACTGATGTGGGGTCAAACCATCTTTAGTGGAAATAAGAAGTGATCTTATTTCTTTCCTCAGACATTCCTGGATACGCTCTTGTTCTGACATCATACCCTACAGAATTCAAGACAAACACTGCCAATGAGGAAAAGCGGGCAAACCCGTGCAATTAAAACAAGCTGTAGTAAACATAAACTAAAATCAGAGTTCTAAAACCGATGAAGCAGAAGCAACACTGTGAAGGCGTTCTGGGGTTTATGCCCCGCCCCCACTATTCAAAACCCACTTCTCAATCCGTGTTGATGAACCTACGTGGGTCGCTAGAACTCGCTGCTCCCGGCTGGCATGGGAAACCCAGCTGAGCTCCTTCCATTAGCTGCGAGAAGCCCTAACTCGGTCTCCCTGGGAGCGCCAAAATCCACCGCAAACTTTGCAAACTGGAATCGCTCAAGGGCTCTCTGGGAACCCCAGCGTAGCGAAAGAGGCGCCGGCCAGTGCTTTTTCTCTAACCAGAACCACCCGGAAGGCTCCGGCTTCTTCTTACCTCGAGTCAACGACCTCCTTCGCGCCCTGCCCAGGCAGCCCAGATGGAGCGGCCTTCCCCACCCCACGTGCCTCACGGGCTCACTGGGGCGTCGTCCTTCCACCTGCCCTGAATTGGGATGAAAAGAAAACGAGAGGCAAGCGGCGGGAGCGCCCGTGCGCCGCAGGCTCTGCCCG